GAGTGACCTGGTCCCTTGGGGACACAGCCCGAGTGACCTGGCTTCTCAGGGACACAACCCGAGGGGCCCTGAGCATCAGTGGGGCTACTTCACGTGCAGCCCAGAGGAGGCTGTGTGGGCGTGGGCATCAGCACATGGGGTGCGGGGGCCGGCCCGGGCAGCACAGGGGGCCGCTTACCCGGACCTCCTTGTAGAGCCGCAGGCAGCTGCTGTTGAGGATGAAGTAGCGGTCGTGAAAGCCTCCGGAGGGCAGGCCCAGGCCCAGCAGGCTGCGGTCCTCTCGGAACTTCATCATGCCGTGCTTGGTGTCACCTACGCGGCTGGCTGCGGTGGGGGGCGAGGGGAGTGGAGTGGGCGCGGCTGCACCAGCCCTCCACCCACAGAGCCAGCCTGAGATGCACTGCCCCTCCTGCTGCAGCCCCCATGGCGGTACCACCAGGTCCAGCCCGGCAGACACCTACCCAGGTACAGCAGCATGGCCTCCATGGACGGGTACCTCTTCACCACCAGGTAGCTGTCTGTGCCCAGCCCGTGCAGAATCGGCAGCACCTTCTCTGCAAAGTGCAGGGGCCTCTCTGGGGCGAGGCCAGACCCCCTGTCAGTGGGGGTACATGGCCTGACCAGCACCCTGCCCCACACCCTGGCATGCCCACACTGGCATGTCGGCGGCCATCCTTTCCCTGCCTGAGCATCAACTTCCCACACCCTGGATGCGACCAACCCTCCATGTGCAGCACAGAGCTCCCGGTCTCGTCCTTCCTGGTAGGCGGGTGTCCTCATGGGTGTAAACAGCACCCCCACCCACAAGGCTGCTCAAGTGGGAAAGCAGTCCCCACTTCCTCTGACCCCCCCACAGCTCAGATCTCTCTCTGCTTCCGTCTGCCAGCGCCGGCCGCTCTGCCCACAGCACGGTCTTCTCCGGTGGCCAGAGTGCTCTCATCCCGTCTTCCTCCACCTCTCCCAGCGGCAGCAAGTGGTGAGCCTGGCAGCGTGCCAGCCACGCCTCTCTTGCCACCCCACCCCACCCCCAAGTGTCTTGCAGTGCTGCGAGTGCCCGCGTGGCCAGTATCTGTCTCCACATCCAGCCCCACCCTTGGTCCCGCTCCCTGAAGGCGGTGCCCATACCCACTCAGCGCTCCTGCCATACTGTCCCCACTGCCCAGGCACTCGTCCCCATCCTCCTCTCGGTCCGCAACTCTTCCTTCAGGGCCAAACACTCCACACACCAGTGAGCAAACGGAGGGACAGACACACCCTCACCCTCTATGCCATCAAGACCACCCTTCACGTGACATGCACTTGCAACACCCCCCCCCCCCAAGCTTCACCACCGTGGCCAGTTCACCACCCACCTGATAATGCATTAGCCACGTCCCCATTGTGAGCAAGACCACTCCCCTTGTCGGACCTTCACAGCAGCACCTCCTGAGTCCTGACTGCCCTACCCCCCAGCAGTGCCACCACCATCACTCTCAACGCCCACCAGCACACCGTCACCGAGATCACAGCCTCCATAGGCATGGCAGCAGCCACCCAACTCCCTCTTCATCACCACCACCACGATCATCACTGTCACCGCCACTACCACCAGTCACCACCACCACCACCACACCCGGCCCCAACCCCAGGGCTCACTCACCTGCCTCTTCCCTCTCGTTGACCTCGAAGCAGGTCCAGTAGTCCTTCTCCCGGATTCCCACGTTCCTGCGATCCAGGATCTCCATGGTGAGTTCCTCAGCTGTCATGGAGGCGGGAACCTTTCGGGTAGGGGAAGGGGTGATCAGCCTCACTTCTGCTTTGGGGTCGAGGGCCTGCGCCCACCTCCAAAGAGTCCTCTAGAGTGGTTCTGGGGCCCTGGGGTGTCCCTGAGTGGTTCTGACCAGCTGGGTGGGCAGGAGAGGATAAGGCTCACTCAACACTCTCCATGGGAGAGAAGCCCGGCTACCCACGCTGCCTGCATGGTGCCTGCCCCCGCCTGACTCCTGCTGATCCCGGGCTTCTAGGTGCCTGGTCCCCACCTTGATGTGCTGCTCCGTCTCGGCTGCCTTCTCCTCCAGGTACACGGTGCAGATGAAGTCACCGGCATGCTGTGGGGAGGTGGGGCTCAGGTGGAGGCCTTGGGAGGGGTACCTGAGCCCTTCACACCCAGCCGCGCCCCTCACCTGCGTCCCACTGGCAGTGCCCGCCACGCGCATCTTCACAATGGCAGTGATCTCCTCCCGCTGCTTCCTCAGCTCCTCCTCGTCCACCTGGGGGCGGCAAGGGAGAGGGGCCCGGGATGATGGTCACTGTCATCCTGGAGCCTTGGTCCAGCCCTCCTCTGCCCCCTGGCTGAGGACGCACACTGAACACCACCACATAGTGGCCGATGAGGTCTTCCACCACACGGCCGGCCTTGTAGTCCTGCCCGTCTGTCTGGAAGAGCGTGGGCCCAAACACAATGGCCAGGTTGTGAGTGTTCATCTGGTTCGTGTCTGAGAAGCATTGGACACTGGACAAGGTAGGGGTGAGAGAGGTCACAGGAGTGGGGCCAGGAAAGGGCTCGTCAGAGCGGACTGCTAATTGGGACATAAGGGCCCTCTTTGGGGTCTTGGCTGGAGTCCTGGGGAGGGGTAGGAAGGGGAAGCTGGGAGAGGGCCCAGGTACTGCAGCCCTAAGGGAAGGCTCCCCTACTCGCCCAAGGGCAGGAAGAAGTTCTGAGACGGCATCTAAGTCAACACTCAGTCTATCCCCCGGGGCTCGTGGGGACCCTGCTCACCAGTACAGGTGGCCGATGAGGGCCTTCACCGTGGCGCGGTTAACTGGGGGCAGCTGGCCCAGCAGCTCTCGGTACCTAACCACCTTCTGTTCATCCTCGAGCTCTGGGTCAGGGGGAGAAACCCCATCAGGAGGTCCCCGTTCTTGCTTGGTGACAGCACCCCCAGTCACTTCAGGCCATTCAGCAGGGGCAGCGGCCCTGAGGGGCTCTGGGTGCAGGGTGCCAGGACGGGGAGCAGAATAGGGGTGTGGGTGCCGGGCCGGTATCAGGCCGGGGCTGCGGGGCCTACCTGAGGCCTCCAGCCAGGAGAGGCGCTGGGCCCGAGTGAAGAGCCCATCAGGCAGGTCGCGCAGGAAGCGCTTGAGCGCCGAGGAGACGTCGTCCACGTGCTGCTCACCCTCCTTGAGGCGCACGGAGCGGGCGTCCTGCCGCAGGCTCTCCAGGAGCCTCTGGGTCTTGGAGGTCTGCCCGCACTTGCGGTAGATGCCCTCGGAGGTCAGTCCTGGGGAGGAGTGGGGTTGAGCTTGGGGGCAGGGTCAAATGCAAGGGGGGGAGTGTCTACAGGATTGACGGGGAGTGGAGCCATGCAGTGACTATTCGAGGGGGTCTGGCAGGCATGCCCCGGCGTGTGTGTGTGTGTGTGTGTGTGTGTGTGTGTGTGTGTTGAGGGGGGCGTCCACTTTTGGGGGACAGGGCTCACCACACTGCGTGATGTAGTCTACGCAGCGGTACACAATCACAGGGATGTCTGAGTCCCCGAGCTGCTGCTCCGAGAGGGTGTCCCCTGAGCTGGCTGCTGCCTTCTGGATGGCCCCCAGCCAGCCACTGAAGTCCAGCCTCCGCTCGCCCTGGATGTACAGCGTCCTGGACCAGGGCAGTGAGTCACCGCAGGGTCCATTCTGTCACCCCCTTCCCAGACCTGTGGGCTGCCTCCAGCTTCTCAGAGCCCGGGGTAGGGAGGTTAGGGGGGTGCTCACCTCCTCCGCTCCACCAGCACCAGCACTTGGTTCTCGTCCCCTTGTACGGCTGTGGAGGAGCGAAGCAGGGTAAGACCCAGACCTTGCTGGGGGGGTGGGTACTGGGGGGGGGCCCACCCTGTGCCCTTGGGAGGCTATGGGCACACCTACCCCCGGGACCCACCCATCAGCACAGCTCTCCCCACCCCCATCCCCGCTGCCTGCCTGAGAGGGGAATCTGGCTCCTGCTGGCCAGGCTAAGAGTTCAGAGACCCAGAAGGGGGTGCCTCCAGGCGGGGTCCTAGGTCCAGGCCCACCCACGCACAGAGCTCTTGCAGTTTGCGCAGCTGCAGCGGCTCCTCCCAGGGCCCCTCGGGGAGGATGGCATGGAGTTGGGAGCCGGAGAGGGAGAACCAGCCCTCCTGGGTCCACTGCAGGCTCAGGCCAGCTTTGTAGGGTAGGCGGCCCAGCCGGTCAAAGTCTTCAGTCAGCAGCTCCTCAGCCAGGGGGGGCACAAATGCCTGGGGAAAGGAGCAGGCAAGGGCCAGGGATCAGGGGAAAACACATCAGCCCACACTGTGGCGTGGCCTGCCCGGTTCCTGGGCCCCTGGGTAAGGGTCCTCTTCCCTTTTTGGCTTAGAACCCAGGCCGGGGGACCCCACCTCCTCCCCAACCTCAAGTGCTGCGCTCCATCCTCCACAGCCCTCAGATTTACCCCTCTGCAGCACCCCCCAGGAGCCATCGGGGAGGCCACTCTCTGTGCCACCACAGCCTCAAAGATTCTGGCGCGCTGTGTGGCTCCGGCACAAGGTGGCTGCTGTCGGAGCCTCATCTAGGTCTGACACCAGCCTGGGAGCCACTGAGGGGGCAGGGGCTGGGACTGGTTCCCCGTGGAGGTCAAACCATCAATAGACCAGACCAGGAACTGGAGTCACACGCTCTAGTCCCCGGCAGCTTCTCTGCCTCCTCCCCTCGCCTCTCCCTCTGAGGGCAACAATCCACCCGGAGGGGCGCTTGAGTGGCCTTCATTACGAAACCCTTGCCAGGCACCTGCAGGGGTTATGCCTCCAGTTCCTCTTCCAGAGCTGACCTTTCCCCTGCCCTGGGGGCTGCAGACTTCACCAGATCCTGGGCCTGAGAAGCCAAGCCGGTGTCTTCAGAGTCAGATGGGGGATCTGCTCTGCCCCATGACCAGACAAACTCTTACCCAGATCCTGCCTTTCAGGTCCCCCTCCCTGACCTGCTCACTCAAACCCACCTTGGCGATGCACTTGACCCACTCCCGAGCCAGCTCTGCGCTCTCCAGTCCAAAGAGGTACAGCCGCTCTCCCTCCGTGTACACCTCAAAGGTGTGCTCAAAGCTAGAGGGACAAGGCTGGAGCTCAGGCCCACCATGCCCACCCCAGCTACCCCCACTCACCCACCTACCCCCAATTCTCCCCTCCCCTGGCCACCTGAGGCAGTGGGAAAGCTCTGGGCCGGGGCCTGGTGCGGCCCATGTACAGACCTAGCTTGCCTGGGATGTGACCCTGGGATGTCCTGGCCCTCTCGGAGTCTGTGTCCCCCAAGTTCCCAACGGGGATGTGAACCTTTCAGGGACTCTGCCCAGCATGCTCACCCATGGGTGTCGGCCCGGGGCACGGCCAGGCACACGATCTCGCTGGCCCGAATCTCCCCGTTGGGCGTCACCGCCCGCTCATTCTCGTAGTAGCTGAGGACCCCGTCACTAAGGACACACCAGCGCCGGCTGAACTCTGGGGAGACCAGCAGAAGAGCCACGTGAGGCCTCTGACCTCATCAGGAAACCGCCTCTGTCTGCAGCCTCCCCAGCCCCCCAGCCCCCCCTCCTGGACTCCGCAGGTCTCCCAGCCTCCACCATCATCGCCCCTGAGACCCAGAGGGACCCTGCTAAACAAGACTCCATACTCCCCCCTCCAGAACCATTCCACAGCTCCCTGTGTCCTGGCATGCCACACTCCACCCAACCCACCAGCGGCCTCTGACAACTCCTGTCTTCCCAAGGACCCCTGGCCCACCCAGGCTCTCTTGTCCAAATTCTGCTCATCCTTCAGAGCCAACCCCACCCCACCCCCAGCTGGCCTACGTGCCCCTCTGTGCCCTGGCAGCATCACACCCCACCTACACCCCGCCTTCTCCCATAATGCCTCTGAGGTGACTGACCAGAGCAACCTGGCCCCAGAGGAGAAAAAGAGCTTGTAGAGACCATGGTGCCGAGTGACACACTGGGTCAGAGCTTCCTGGCACTACAACGATAGGGATGACTCAGACGGTTACATAAACGGCACTGCCAGGGAGGACCATGTAAACCCATGCAGTGGCCCAGGGGACAACGAGGCAGGGAGAGTGTCGGGGACTCAAGGCTTACCTCCTGGAGCAGGGGGTTTCCTCGGGGGTGCAGTGGGCAATGGCCTCAGCACTGTCCCCGGAAGACACTGAGCCCATCTCTGAGGGGGGTGTGCCCTGGTCTCAGAGGGCGCTGAGGGGGGTGTGCCCTGGTTTCAGCCTTCTCCCTGGCAGGGCGCCCTCCTGGGTCCTCTCCCATTCTGCAGACATTTACCAAGTGCCCGCTGCAGTCCGGGGGCTGGGGCCACAGTGGAGGCCAGAGGGGCTAAGACCCCAGGACGGGGCAGGGGACTAAGATGCACAGGCCTCCTGACACAAAAGCCAGACAAGGGGTGTGAAGAACAAGTTGGGCAGGGGGAGAAGGGAGGGGGTACTGCTTTGGACAAGGTGGTCAGAGTGATGTCCTGATCCAAGGGAGGGGCTGACTATACAGTCAGGTGGGAAAAAGCGCTTGGGACAGAGGAACAGCAAGTGCACAGGCCCTGGAGTGACCATGGCCTCTCTGAGTAGTGGCAAGGAGGCCAGAGGGTGAAAGGGAGAGAGACCACAGAAAGTGGGGCAGCAGCTGCCCGGTTTGGCTTCTGCTTTGGAGTTGAGGAACACTGGGCTGGGGAACAGGGGTGTTGCTGGGATCAGGAGGCACAGGGCTTTAAGCTGAGTCCTCCAACTCCCCACCATGCTCAGGCCCACCCCCAAGAGGCTAGATACTGGGCCCTCCCCTCAGTCCCCAGTAGCCCACTGACTAGGCATCTATTGCATACCACAGGGCCCCTGGCTGCACAGTGGTTACTCGTTGGTCTACGATCCGCCTGGTCGGCAGTCTGAAACCACCAGCATCTTGCTGGGAGAAAGGCGGGGCTTTCTACTCCCACAAGCAGGTATAGCCTCAGAAACTTTCGGGTGTCGCTGTGAGTTTTTTTTACTGCATTCCAGAGGAAAGAACCTTGGTATCACAGTGCTGGGCTAAGCTCACGGTCAGCTGCTCCGAGGCACAAAGATGAGGCTGTCTGCTTCCAGAAAGAGTGACAGTCTCAGAAACCCGCAGGGTTAGTTCTACTCTGTCCTACAGGGTCGCTGTGAGTCGGACTTGAGCCCTGTATCCAAGAGACTCTATCCAGGAAGCCTGCCGGTGACTGCTGGGGTTTGTTAAGCACCCTCCTGGGTCCATCACCCTGGCTAGCCCTGCAGCCATGTCAGCTGTCATGGGCTGGGGGAGGTCTGGCACAGCACCCACCTTCCCGAGCTCGGCGGTCCTGCAGTGGCTTGCCGGCAGAAGCAGTCTTGTAGAGGAAGCCGCTGTGACTCACGGTGGGCAGGACAATGGAGTAGTGCTTTTCCAGGGGCTTCATTGCGTCCAACCGGGGCACCTCTTAGTGGGGGAGAGGGAGTAGCAGTTGGTCACGCTTGCTTCACACTGCCCACCGAGGCTGACACCCAGGCTTCTTGTCCAGGTCCCAGCCCTGGCTCCCTGACCAGTGCCCTCAGGTGCTCACTCCCCTCTATGGGTAGACCGGGCATTTCTCCAAGCGTGGAAATCCCACCCTGCCCCCAAGGATCAACCCTAGTATTTTCCCTTCTAGGAATCCTCCCAGATTCCCCTTTTGGGGCACAAGGCCAGGCAAACCCAACAATAATCCCCAGGCAGCCTCCCTCCCATGGGGCTTCGAAACCCCAGGAAACAGCCTGGTTCCAGCCCTCTAGGCGGCCAGGCCAGGCCAGCTGGGTGGTCCCCGTGCCTTCTGGACACCTGGGCTCTCTCCAGCCCAGCCCACCCCACCCACTCATGGCCCCAAGCCTAGCGCCCCAGCTGCTGAGCTCCAGCCCAGAGGCCAGGCCTGGCTGTGACCAGTCCCACCTACTCCCTTCACCCCCTCCTCACCTGCCCTGAGTTGGGAGAGGCACCAAGTAGGGGTGCAATAGAGTTCCCAGGCTGCCACGAAGGGTCACCCTTACATAGGGAAGCACCCCCCCACCACACACAACACACATCCTTGGCACATGCCTGAAAGCAAAGTCTACCACACCCCAAGGTGCAGGGTGACAGACACAGCTCAGAGAAATACAAACGCTGGCACCAGGACCCCGCCCAGCAGCCCAGGCTGCAGGTGGGGAAGGGACAACAAATGCACAAGCAGAGACAAGTATACACACATACACACACGTGGAGATGCACAGATGTACACTGACACCCCACCCCAAGCACAACCACAATTGCACACACTGCTGCACTGGGGACACTCCTGGAGCTGCACCCCACCTTCACAATAGCACATGAATGTGCCCCTTGCTGGTTGCCACCCTCCTGCCCGCCCCGTCAACCTTCCACAGGGCTGGCCACTGGCCCTAGAGGGGCCCCTACTCTCTGCTCACCCGAGGTCCGGTTGTTCCGAAGGAATTCCATCTGCAGGGTCTGCCCCGCCTGCTCGGCGAGAGCCAGGGGTGTGGGGGCCTCGGGGTCTCCTGAGAAGCAGCTGACCCCAGCCCCACAGCCCAGGAGTGCCTGGGTCTCCGCCAGGTCTGTGGTGGTGACAGCAGCACACAGGGCCTGGGTGGAGGGGAGAGCAGGGAGGGAGGGTCAGTCCAATCTGGGAGTGAGGGGGTGTGGGAGAGGGGAGGAAGGGGTTACCCAGGTTGGGTGGGGGAGCACCCTCAGGAGAAAAGACTAATAAAAGCAGAGGAAGAGGAGGAAGGGAGAGGCCAAGGTGGGAAGGGTGTCCAGAGTTGTCCCAGAGGCGGGGGTCCCAGCTACCCAGGGCCTCACCCAGCTGCCGGCCCCCAGAGAGAGCGGTACCCTGCCCGTTCTCTCAAACTCCTTCACCAGTATGCAGGGGCAGGGGCTCTGTATTTAACTCCGCCCACATTTAGATTCCTCACTGCCTACCCAGCCCTCTCCACCAATGGGAGCCGCCGCCTCTCCTGGCTGCCGGGCCAGACTGGGCTGGGCCTGGCCCGGGGCTGGATGCCTGGGTCCCCAGGAGGTGGGGCCTGGCTCCCCACTGGGTTTCTAGCTGGAAGCAGCCAGGGCAGGGCCGGGCTGGAGGTGCAGGGGGGCGGGGCTGCAGGCCAACCAGAGGTCAAAAGTGGCATCCTCCCGCTCCTTCATAAACGGTCAGATCAGGGCCCCCAGGCTTGGCTCCTGGCATGTCAGGGCCTGGGGCCCGTTCACAGGGCCTCCTTGTCAGAAGGGTGGGGTGGGGGTGGGTCTGAGCAGCCCAGCTGTTTTTCATGAGCCTGACAGGAAATAGCATCCCCACTGAGTTCACTCCTTTTGGCAAGGAGCAGGGCAGGGTGCGGGAGACAGAGGAATCAGGGAGGACAGGGAGGGGTGGGGGCAGAGGGAGGCAGGCAGACGCCCAGGGGTCAGGCCTGGATCTTGCCCGCTTTGCAACCTCTGCCCTCTGAACCTCGGTTTCCCCATAGGCCAGCTCATCACTCTGAGCCGCTGAAAGTGATGGCCTGGCTCCGGAACAGAAGCGGGGTCCCAGCCAGGGTTCTCAGGGGATTCTGACAGTCTAGGGACCAAGGGGGCTGTCCCTAGGGGTCCCAGAGGCACAAGCGCTGACCTTGTCCAGCTCCTCCTGGTTGCCAAAGAGCGGGTGGTAACGGCGGTACTTGCCCTCGCGATACTTGGCCTCCAGGTGGCGGCGCCGGGCAGCAGGGCTGCTGCTGGGCTGCAGGGCCTCACTGGGGGGCACGTTGGCTGCCCAGAAGCGGTTCCCGGCGCCATTGCCCAGCTGCAAGAAGAGCTGTGGGGGTGGGGGTGGGGGGGGAAAGGTTAGCAGGGGCAGCCTAGGGCTGAAGACTCTTGCCAAGCAAAGCCTTGGGTCCTGAGGGTGCCAGGCAAGGGGCTGGGAGAGCCAGGCCATCGGCCCACTTTCCCAGTGGGAAAGCTGAGGAACAGCCTGGCCTGGTGTGGCCCTGGGCTCAGTGCCCGGACAAAAGACAGACGGGTCTGACAGGTGGCCGGCCCAGGCCTGGCGCCGGGTTCAGGGTAGAAGGGGACCTTGCTGTTTCCCCACCCAGTCCCACGCTGCATTACTGAGGCCATCACAGCTGGGGGGGTGGGGGGGGTTGACAGCCAGTAGGGTGGGAAGAGGGATTTTGGAAATATCTCTTGTCCTCCCTCCCTCTAGGCATTCCTCCCTAGAAGGGGTGGAGGCAGGTTCTGGGAGAGCTCAGGGTTCTAGGGGCCTATCATTTGAAGAACTAGCTTATTCATTCAAGGCACAGCCATATTTGGCCCGCCCTGGTCCCTACCCCATCCTGCCTCTCCGTCAGCCCTGTGCAGGGTGCTGAGGGAACAGCAGGGAACAAAGGAGGCCCACCACTCAATCTCCCTGGACCTCAATCTGTAAACTGCAAACAGGGGGTTCGAATTGTAGGCCAATTACCGCTTGGAAATCCTCTAGCCCTTCTGGGCCAAGCAGCGGGGGGACCTGGGAAATGGGTGTGACAGCGACTGGGAGTAGGCAGCCTGGAGGGGCTACTGCATTTGCCAGTGCCGGAACCCCGAGTCCCCAGGCACAAATGTGCATGCGTGTGCACCTCAAAAAGCACATGCTCAAAGCCACCTGTGAGTGTACCTGAAATGGACAGTGCCAGGCCCTTGGGGTGGGGGTGGGGGGGCACCAGGCCCCAGGCCAGCCAGGTGGTGGGACGGAAAAGGGCAGGGTTGGGCGGTTTGTCAAGATTGCTGGGCGATCGCAGGCAAAGGGCCGCCCTGACCAGCCCTCAGTGTCCACATCTGTGCAAGAGGGCGAGAGTGGGCCTCCATCGGGAGGAGCCAGCACAGGCTTGTCACAAAGGGCCCAACAAGGAGCTGTTTGGTGTTCCCACAAGTTCAAGATAAAAATTGTGTAAGGCGACAATGGGGTTTTCCCACCAACTTTTGGAAGCCCCATACAGTCTCTGTGACAGGTCCTCTTTCCCCTTTCCAAGCAACCCTTTAAACACATAAAATCATGCTTGGCTTGCAGGCCCTCATTTGCTAATTGGCCTTTCCAAAATCCCCACCCACCAGCTGAGTTCTCCAAAGCCTTTTCCAACTGGGGGTGGGGTGGGCTGGGGGGGTCGGGGGTAGGAGGGAGGGGACAAGGAGGAACCTGGCAGCCACTGAGCAGGACAGATCCCCGCCCCTAGTGCAGGTAGCAAGGGAGGGGGGCATCCCACCTCAATGAGTGTTTCCGTCCACACCTTCCTGTCCATCTTCAGACTCCGCACCTTGGAGATGCCAGCACCCAGGCCCCGGTGCTCCCCTGCAGACAGAGGACCAGACTCGAGTCGTCCTGGGCCCTGTCTGCTCGTGGCGGTATCCACCCCAGAGCTCACCCAGGGACAGAGCCTGCAGCTCCATCTTTGGTCCCTCTGCTACAGAATCCAGCATGCACTCCGGCTCACAGGTCTCAGCATCCAGACAGCATGGCCCAAGGGTTCTGAACACCGGCCCTAGCTGTCCCACCCTAGGCCTGTTCCTCACCCAGGAGAGCAGGGGCCTCCTGCCACCCCAACACTCGCCCACCCACCCACCTCCCCCGCCCCAGTCCTCACAGCGGCCCTTCCCTTGGTGGGTGTTGGACTCTTGGCTCCATCCACTTTCCTTCTCACTCCCCCAACCCCCACACCCCCGCCTGTTACCCAGACCTTACACTGTAGACCCTACACGTCTCTCGAATGCTGGCCATCCCATTCCCTAGGCCAGGTGTCTCCACTCCGCCCCCACTCCCCGCCTCTCCTGGTTTTCAATCCCACCCCTTCCAACTCAGCTTCTGCCCACCAGCCAGTCTCTCTCAGAGCCTGACCTCAGCTCCCAACTGCTGAAAGGCCGGTGGTTCCCAACCTCCATCTTCTGATGAATCTCAACAGGTAGGCCTGAAATACAGGCTCGTGTATCTGCCAGGCGAGCTCAAACGAGCCATGCTTCCTGTGCCTCAGTTTCCCCCGTGAGATGAGGGAGCTGTCTCCTTACTGCTGCAGTGGTAAGGACTCAGGACGAAAGGCTTGCGAATAGGAGGGACTTCTGACAACCGCCGGCCACCACCCTCCGCAGGCACCAGCCGGGCCTGAGCCCCTCTGTCCCCCGACCCCTACACACATACCTGCGCAGCGCTTGCAGATGACAACACAGAGGTTGATGGAGGCCCAGTCGGGCTGGGCGGCCCCGCAGTCGGCACAGAGCCTGTTGGGGGCCGAGGCCCAGACTCGCTCGGCCACCTCCGAGGTGGAGAGGGCCTCGGCGATGGCTCCCTGCATGGCCTCCAGCCACTGCTCCCTCTCCAGCTCCGATTCGGCCGAGAAGCTGGGGGCACAGAACAGGGGGCGGGTGGGAAAGGGCTCCCAGGGGCTTGGGGGGAGGGCATACAAGCATGAAGTGCGGTGCGGTGGCTAGGCACAAGAGGCTCACAGCCAGGACAAGGAGGCATCCGGGGGCCTGGAGTAAAGGCCAGCAATGGTCCCTCGAGGGTGGGACCTGAGAGGGGTGTGGGGCTGGGGGGATCCCCAAGGCACGCTGACCCAGCAGGGAGCAGAGACGGCTGCTGTGAAGGGGCACTGCCTGCACTGAGGCTGGACGGTGAGGAGGACACAGACGGAGGAGTCAGAGGGAGGTGTGGGCAGAAGGGACGGCATGTAAAATGGGCCGGCAGGGTGGCTGCCCGAGCACACACGACTGAAGAGTCTCAGCAGAGTCCACGGGCCCAGGCCACAAGGGCAGAGGGGCAGGAGGGGAACACGGAGACCAAGGATGTGACGGAGGCCGGGCGAGGGTGGAGCCGGACCTGCCCAGGCTGAGTGGGAGGCAAGGTCCCTTGTGAGCGGGCCGGGGCCTGGACAGGAGGTTGAAGGTGAGAGGTCTGCCAAGCTGTTAGGCAGGCGGGTCTCGAGTGCAGAAGGAAAAGCCAGCTGCAGCCAGAGACCTGGACTAAGGACCTGGAGAAGGCGGTGGCACGGCAGTGGTTAACTGAGCAGTTACTATGCACCCTCAGTCAGCAGCTTTACAGAGATAACCATGTTCCAGCTTCACAGAGAAGCACAAAGTGATTTGCCCTAGTCACCCCGCAGGTCAGCAGTGGACACAGGCTTTGAATGCTGGCACCACACAGGCAGCTGAAGCCTGGCAGTGGGCCAGGTCTACCAGGGAGAGGGCAGAGGGCAGAGACAGGCAACGCTGGTGGGGATAGTGAGGACAGACTGCTAGGGCAGAGACTTAGGGGTTCAGGGAGGAGCATCCAGCCAGGCCAAAGGAGCCCTGGGAAGAATGGGTGTGAAGGACAAAGGTGCAGGAGGCAGTTAGGGCAGGCAATGGGGACGGACGGTGCAGAAAACCAAGTGGGAAGCTCTGTCAGCTGTGGGGCTAGGAGGTGGGGCAGTGCCAGAGAAGGTGCCTGCGGACGCACAGGAGCAGCAGTGCAGGGCTGGCAAGGGAGAAGACCTCCCACCCAGCAGGTGCGGAGAGGGAAGGTGAATGGGGGCGGGCACCTGAAGATGCGGTAGGGCGTGGTGAGGTCGAAGCTGCGCCGGTCCACTTCCTTCACATTGCCCACGCTCATTTCTATGAAGGTGATGCCAATGCCCAGGTGGTACTCCTAGTAAGTGGGGCGGGGTGAGAGGCTGGGTGAGGCTTGACGGGCTAGGGTGGGGTCAGGGTGGTACCTCTGGGACTATGGAGGAGACGGGAGGGTTCAAGATCTGAGCATAGTAACTGGCCTGGGCTTGGGGTCAGGTGGGCAGTGGGAACGAGGGGTTCGGTGAATGTCCAGGCTGGAGTGAAGGCAGGAGATGGGTTAGAACTCGTGGTGAGAGGTAGGAGCAGGCCAGGAGGGGGTGGGGGGAGCGGGGTCAGGCTCAGGGTGGGGGTGAGGTGCAGCCAGGGGACCAGGGGGGCACAGAGCAGGATGGAGGGAGCAGACCGGGAGCAGGTCAGTGAAGGTCAGTCTGGTAGCTGGCAGGCCCTTCGCACCTCCATGTTCTTGTAGAGCTGCACCTTGTCCCCGACCACAACCACGTACAGCTTGTTCTTGAAGCCACGCAGCTCCAGGCTGCCCGAGTGGTCAGGCAGCTCCGGGCCCGGCACACCCAACAGATGGGTGCTGGGCAGCCGGGCCCGATGCCCCACCACTGCCTGCTGCAGGGCCTGCATCCACTCCTTCCGCTCAGCTGCAGGCAAAAGCGAGAGTGAGCCCCCCCACACCAGGAAGCCTACCCTGACTGACCCAGCTATCGCTGTCTGACTTCCCGGACCTGAACAAGCTCAGGCTCCCATCCCAGCTCTGTCCTTATACTGAGCAAGTCACATTCCGGCCCCACACCCGTTTCCCCGCGAGGACTCCCACAGGGGGGGCGGGGGAGGGGGGGGCCCACGGGCCACGCACTGCCAATCTTCCCTATCCCACAACCCTCTCCTCCCTCCTTCACACCCACCATCGCTCTCCGCCCGGAAGGCAAAAGTCCGGTTGTTCGTGATCACTTCGAACTTCTGGTCCCCGATGGCAGCCACGTGGGAGATGCAGGCCACAGGGACAAAGCGTTTAGAGTAGGCCTCCTGGGGGACAGAGAGGGGGCATTCTGTAGGGGCAGGGGGTGGCCCGAGCTCATAGGTGCAGCCCCCTCAACCTCAGCTGAAATGAAGGGTACGATCCTGCCCCCCACCACCCCCCCCATGCTGGCCAGGCCCAACCCCTCCCCTCACCAATGGGCCAGGAGGACAGAATGAGTTGGGTGGGGTGGGGGGCAGGACTTGTGTCTCTCTGGAGGGATTCCTCTGGGGTCCAGGCTCAGAGCAGCAGTGGGGCAGGGTCGGGAGGGGCGCACCTTGTTACTGTCAAAGTACCGCAGGTACTGGGTATCCAGTCTCACCCATCGCTTCTGATAGATGTAAGATCTAGACGGGGAATGGGGGACAGGGGGCACAAGAGAGCTGAGGGCTGGGGATGAAGGGCAGAAGGCTCTAGGGTCATCCAGCCCTCTGATGGCCACACTCAATGACGACGACATCAAGTACAGCTGGGAGAATTCCAGATGGGCCCACAATCCAAGCCAGACGCAAAGTGGGACTTCCCAACCGTAAGGACCGTAAAACGCAGGTGGATGGAGATGAGGCCGACCCAGCCGCTGTGCTTACCACCTTCATTGTGGATCCAGGACCCGAGGTCCTGCCTGCCCCATGCAGAGTACCAGGGGGACCCACAGACCTCACTCACCCCTGCGGTGGGTTCTTGTCCAGCCAACCGGCCTTGATGATGGGTGGGACGGGGGCAGAACCCCCGGGCAGCTCATCCATGGGGTGTGGCAGGAGCTCGGGGACCAAGGGGCCACTGGACAAGGGCACGCTCAGGCCGCCACTGTACCACCCACCGCTAGAGGAAGTTGAGAGAGAACACAGGCAGCCAGGGTAAGGGGGCCACGGCCAGGGCTTAGCACTGGATCTCTCAAGTGGAGCAGGGCCGAGGGGAGGGGAGCGAAGGGTGGGGCACCAGCAGGGCTTTGGGAAGGAGGGTGCTGGGCAATGGAGTCACACAGGAGGGTGGAAACTCACTTGGGGATGCCCTCGTAGGCGTGGTCATCCTCCTCCTCATCCCCTTGGTTGTCGTCCCCGGACAGCTCCTCCCCCTCGCTCAGCAGACTGGCCACACGCACGGCCCTCGGGACTGAGCTCAGTGGGGGCGCCTCCTGTTCCTCCCAAATGGCAGCGTCACCCAGAGGTCACCACACCTGCCTTGTCCACTCCATCCCCAACCCGGACAAGCCAGCACTTTTATTTCTGCTTACACACACACACACCACGACCCTTCCCTGCCCCCCGCCCTGGCAGTGGAGGCCATACAGGGTCCCCTGAGATGGGAGAATCAGTGGCCAACAGACGTAGGGCAGGAAGACGCTGGTTCCAGACCCTCAGAGAGAGAGAGACAGACACAGGGACCCAGAAAGTGAAACTGAGACAGCCAGAGAGACGGACAGACAGACCACCCCAGATCAATGTGCTGGGAATGCGGGAGAGGAGCATGCACAGCCAGAGGCAGCCCAGAGTTCTGGGGCTCTGCGTGACCCTGCACTCTCCCAGGGTCTGGTCTGACATGGAGCTGGTGGGCCTCCCTCCTTCCCTCCTTCCCAACACGCAGACAGAGAGACAGACAGAGCAGTCCCTAACCACTGCCCCGCCCCACCTTCTGGTTCATCACGCTGGCTGGGGCCCCCAGCCCCTCCTCTGGGGCCTCATCGTAGTCGGAATCATCTGGGAGAGATAGGGGTGGAGGATGCTCAGAAGCGAGAGGACCCCCCCACACACACACCTCCAGCCCTCCAAAGACCCCCACCCCCACGGGCTTTCAGAAAACAGGGCCCAGGGGACAGGAAGTGCTATTTATACCCTCAGGGCCTTGTGGTTCCCACTTGGGGGCAGCCAGGGGAGAGGCAGGCTACCCCAGGCACAGGGGCGGGGCCTGCCCAAAAAAGGCTAAAAAGCAAACTAACCGGAGATCCAAAAGCAGTGGATACACCCGGGCAAGCGAACCACCCACGACGACAGGAAGTGTTCCCAGACTCCAAACCCAGGGGACCGAGCCCGCCCGCCTTGTCCCCACACTTCAGTCAGTGGGTCATACAGGCGGCTGCTGTCCCCACTCACAGATGGCAGCCACCACTGGAGGATGCTGGGAGAAGCCAGCGCCTGCCCAGAGCCACTTGGTGGAGGGAAGGGGAGCCTGATGCTGGTACATGCTCTGCACAGGGGCCCAGAGCCCCCAGGACCCGCCCCCCACCCCCCAGAGAGAGCCCTGTCCCCATCTCCCTGACTGCACACTCACCAAACTCCGGGAGCAGGCGGGGAGGCTTTGGAGGGACTTCTGGGGGGCTGGGTAGTGGAGATGGGGGCCAGGGGGAACCCCGGGAGAGGGTGGTGGGGGGCTCCTCAGGCTCCGGCTGGGGAGGGCATGACAGCGATGACTCCCCCTCCCTGGAAGGAAGGCTGGGAAGAGAACAGAAGGTAGGCACCAGGGGGTCAGCTGGGCCAGCAGCACATAGCCAATCAGACAGCCGGGGAGCCTGCTCAGCCAGCTGCAGTACACCACCTGCTCTCAAGGATGGTAACGACCACATCTGGGGAGCAGGGAACCCCATCCTGGGCAGTCATGGAAGGCTTCCTGGAGGAGGTGATGGCTGAGCTTTTATGGGTCAGAAAGCTCTGCTGGCAAAGGGGAGTGGGGTCAGATTTAAATGGGCAATGAGCCTCAGAAACCAACTCCGGAGGCCCCAAGTCAGGGGTCTCTGCCCCAAGACCACCTGCCCCTTTGCTCAGGCACCTCCTGGGTGCCTCACAAAGCCCTCAAATGCACTCACGCCCCCACCCCCTCTCCCTCCACCTGGCTGCTCCTTCCTGCCACCTACCCTGACTCCCTGAGGCAAGACTTGGCTCAGCCCTTTCTGTCCACCAGCCCGCTCCCTGAAGGCTCAATGCCACCCAGTGGGACTTAGGCCCTTAGCTCCTGTGTGTCCCAGGATAAGTGCCTAGCCTGCCTCCCGCCAGGGACCTCCAACTACCCGAGGCATGTGAGAGCAGGGCACAGGGTCAGGAAGCTTCAAGAGCCGACTGTCCCCTGGACTGCCAGCGCAGCGAGCACGTCCATCTGTTCGGGGTGGTAGGCAGGCCCAAGCAGTGCTCGGTTCTGTGGTGCCCCAGGGTCACTAGGAGTTAGAAATGACTTGAGGGAACTTCATGGCAATAAAATAATTGTCCCTGCATGGATGAGCAGAAGGGTACCAAGCACACCCCATTCCGTGTGATAACCTGACCTTCAGGTAGCTTTCTAGCTCTGTTGCCCGAGAAACTTGTGTCAACCACGTTACCAGGCAACAATGTCGTTAGTTAAAAAATAAAGACCTAATTGTGGAACTGCATGCGGAGCGGACTGGGAGCCACTATACGACAAATGCTCCAGCGGGGGGAGAAGCCACAGCTCTGGGCTCCCGGGGGTGCAGGGCATCTGCCTTCCAGAGTCCTGGAACCAGGCCTGTGGGGTTCTGGTAAGAGGTAGTGGTGGCCCCTTGGGACAGGGCGATTCTAAGCCAGCGTGGCTCTCACCTGTCTGCTGGGAGTTCCTTTCCCTCAGCCCTGAGCTGTCACCTGGGGGGCGACACAGAACGTTCCTACGGGGCTGAGTGGCCTGTGGCATGAACTGCGTGAAGATTTCCGCAGAAAGGGACACCTGGCTAGGCCCTGCTAGCAAGCTGTTTCCCACCCTGACTACTGATACCACGTGCAGGCAGTCTGTCTGGAGCAGCTGAGCATTTAGTAGGACCTCCTAGTGGGCACTGCCCCCTGGCTGTCCCCTCCCGATTCTCCAAGTCTCTTTAGGGCCTGGGCAACGTCTGGCTTGAGTCTCTATCACCACGGCCCACCCCAGGGCTTGGCCGAGTCAGTAGGAGAAGCATGCTGGGTGGGTAGGTTTATGTAGATGGGGGCATGGAGGAAGGTGGGTGGCTGAATAGGTTGACCGTTAGGGTTGGCAGAACATACACAAAAGGGTGAATGATGATGAAGTAACCAGTGGCTGTAGATCTAGGCCTATGAACATGACAAACCCATGCCGGCAGCTGGCCCAACTGGTCAGGTGCCATGTCCCTGGGCCTTCTCGACAGACACATCAATCTTTCACACTGCCACCTCCCAGGACCCAAGGGGAAAGGGCTCTTGAGAGCAGAGATCAAATGGGAATAGAGCCTCAAGCTTCCCAGGTGGGGCGGGTCAATCTGTGAGCTACGGGACGTGGAGGCAGTGTCTGTCCCTCTAATGCCAAGCAGGATTGGGGATGGCTATACAGCAGCATCTGCCCCGCCTGCCCCCCGGTTTTCAGGCTCCATGTAGCAGTGCCCTCCCACCTGGGGCACAATCCTTTCGAGAAGCCTGCCCACCCTGAGTCGGCCTCCCCAGCAGGTGGGCTCCCCAAGGCAAGCTCAGCACCCATCTTGTTCACTTGTAGCCATGGCACTGGGCCGGGATGAATAAATACACGAATACCTGACATTCATCAATCCCTATTAATTCATAATCATTATGAGAGAAATATGTGAGCCAATGACTCTTCTTAATTAATAGTCACAGACTTAATCATTGTGCGTCTATCACCAATTAATAAGCATTAGTTAACCCAGGTATGCAGCAACATCTTTCTGAAACCCCTGCTGAGCAATGTCCCCGGGCTCAGGCTGGCACAAATGGCTTGTGCTCGCCCATTAACCCAAACCTCAACTCCCTGCCACCGGGCTGATAGTGACTCACAGTGGCACTGCAGGATGGAGCGGAAGGGCTCCACAGGGTTTCTGAGGTCGTAAACCTTTACAGTCTCATCTTTCTCTCACAGAGTAGCTTGTGGGTTTTTGAACCACGGACCTTCTGGTTAGCAGCCCAATGTTTCACCCACTGTGCCACCAAGGTTCTTCATTTGCCAAAACGGCCTTGATAATAAAACACACTATGAAAGATCGCAAGATCAATGACTTATTCATCAGAAATACCTTCAACAACATGAAAGATGACTGACTCTATATGTGTACCTCAGCAGACAGAATAGACAGGGATCAAATCGACCTCCTCTGTGGAAAGAGATGGTGGAGAAGCTCAGTATCTTCAGTCTGAACAAGGCCAGAGGCCAACCGCTGAACAAACCATCAATTGCTCATATGCACGTTGAAGTTGAAGCAAATGAAAACAAGCCCACAAGAGCCCAAGCATGACGCTGAGTACATCACACCTAAACTCAGAGACCACATTGGGAATGGAGTTGACCCAACATACATTAGTGACCAGACAAGTTGTGGGATGATAGAAAGGACATATGTGGCGAAAGCTTAATCGTTAGAAAGACAGGAAAGAAAAAAACAAAATGGACATCAGAGAGACTCTAAAACTTGCTCTTCAGCATCGAGTAGCTAAAACAACCGGAAGATGTGATGCAGTAAAAGAGCTGAATAGAAGATTCCAAAGTACAGCATTCTAAGGAACTGTGCAAAGACTTGGTGCTAGAAAACCAAAAGAGAAGAATACACTTGACGCTTCTCAAGCTGAAAGAACTAGAGGAAGGAAAAAAGAAGCCTCAAGTTGCAGTGCTGAAGGGTTTCAATAGGCAAAATGTTGTGCAAAGGGGCATCAAAAGACGATGAAAGGACACACGAATCACTGTGCCGAAGGGAAGTGGATGATGCTCAGCTCTCTCAGGAGGGGGCATATGATCAAGAGCCAATGGTATTGAAGACAGAAGTCCCAGTGACACTGAAGGTGAAAAACACAAGGCTCTAGGAATCGCCCCCCTCTGCTCCCCCCACCAGAAGAGATCCATTATTTATGCCCATTCCAAAGACAGGTGCTATCCAACAGAATGAGGAAATTATCAAACAATGTAATTAATATCACATGCAAATAAAATTCTGCTGAAGACAAGTGAAAAATGGTTGGCAGCAATACATCAAGCAATACTGCCAGAAATTCAAGCCAGATTCAGGAAAGGATATGGAACTAGGGATGTCATGTTGATATTAGACGGAACTTGGCTGGAAGCAGAAAATACCAGGAAGATGTCTGCTTGTGGTTTGACTATGAAAGGCATTTGATGGTGTGGGTCATAGCAAACGATGGATAGCATTGCAATGAATGGGAGTCCCCTCCTTAATTGTGCTCATGTGGAACCTGGACATAGACCAAGAAGCAGTTGTTCAAACAGAAAGGGGGGTATTGTATGGTTCAAAGTTAGGAAAGATACGACACGTGCATCAAGGTTGTAACCTTCCATCATACTTATTCAATCTGTATGCTGAGCAGATAATCCAAGAAGTTGGCCTATGTGAAGAAGGCAGTCTCAAGATTGGAGGGAGGCTCATTAATAAGTTGCGATCTGCAGAAGCAGCCTTGCTTGTTGAAAGTGAAGAGGACTTAAAGCACTTACTAATGAAGATCAAAGACTACAGCTTTGAACAGAGATTATACCTCAACATAAAGGAAAAGACAAAAACCCTCTCAGGACCAATGAGCAGCATCACAGTGAACGGGGAAGTCGTCAAGAAGTTCCTTCTACTTGGATCCATCATCAATGCCCAGGAAGCAGCAGTAAAAACAACAACAAAGGAAGTACTACACCGGGCAAGTCTGCTACAAAAGACCGCTTTCAAGTGTTAAAAAGCAAAGATGTTCATTTGAAAAGGTGCAGCCAAAATGTTCCTTGGAAGTGAGGATGGGCAAGGCTTTGTCTCATGTACTTTTGACCCATTATCGAGAGGACCCTGGAGAAGGACAGCGGCACCTTCAACAGGGGCTCAGAGAGAGCAATGGCTGTGAGAGGGATGCAGGACCGGTAGGGCTTCCTTCTGTTGTGCACAGATGCTATGAGCGGAAACCAACTCCGTGGGGCCTCAGGGTAACAGCTACAGCAACCAAAAGGTTGGCAGTTCAGATCCATCCAGCAGCACTTCGGAAGCGTCCATAAAAGTTATCGATACAAAACCTCTGGGACAATTCTACTCAGAAAACAGACGGGTCGCCTGGAACTGACTCAACGGCACGGGTTTTGTTTCATATTCGTCTGAGTAAAGCACTTACAAGATGAGGAGCTTGTGTAGAAAGCAAATGTTCTGAGAATGATGATGGCAACGAATGTACAAACGTGCTTGACACTGGATGGATGGATGGATGGATGGATGGATGGATGGATGGATGGTGATAAGGGCTGTAAGAGGCCCCAATAAAGTGATTGGGGGAAAAAAGATGATGGGGGCCATACGTAAAGAGAATGGGTTGGTTTGTTTTTCCATGAAAGTTTTGAAGCCCCCTCGCACACGCATGGCTAATACCACAGGGCTACTGCAGTCTCCATCATTTTCTGACTGCTTACTCCTCACAATGCAGCTTCAAGGCAAGGACTGTACTATCCCTGTTTTACAGCCAACGAACGAGGCCTCAAGACGCCGAGTAAGTTGTCT